CATCACCATCATAGGATCAGAATCATCACACCATCATAGGATCATCACCATCACACCATCATAGAATCATCACACTATCATAGGATCATCACCATCATAGGATCATCACCATCACACCATCATAGAATCATCACACTATCATAGGATCATCACTATCATAGGATCATCACCATCACACCATCATAGGATCATCACCTTCACACCATCATAGGATCATCACCATCACACCATCATAGGATCATCACCATCACCTTTTACAATTGCACATTTCAAGTTTTCAGTTTTAAAGTATTTACTGAAGATCAATTGTGCCTTCATCAGTAGTGGATTATAGATATACAGTGAAGTTCACAAGTGGGCCAATTCAATTCATTTTGGTTCAGGTAGATATTTCATAATGCAGAAAATAACAATCTGATTGTACAATTTATTTATGACGCTTTATAATAATAATAAATAAGTGCCATAAAATATTTGCTTGCGTGCTTGCATTTATTATCTGTGCCCACGCTTTTTTAAAATAGATAATTGCCCAAAAATGTCTTTGCTCGCATGCTTTGCGCACTTTCATTTTATTTGCTGCCCTGTATAGTACTTGGTCAGCTGACGCCCCTGGCCGCACCGGGGCCCATACCTGCACACTTCATTATTTTTCACCTTCACCTCATTTTACAGCAGAATATACTAAAGTGTATCCATGTAAAAGAGTAAACTGAAAGTTATTTACTTATTTTCTGTCCAATCAGCGTGCGCTCTCACAGCCAGTCTCCTGGAACGCTCATTGAACAAAGCATCGCTGTGGACAGACTGGTTTTCCAAGTAACCTCCCCCCCACACCCCGCTCTCTCTTATTGTGTCTGCGCAATCACAGTAGTTCTAATCCGCACATGATGAATAAACTACTGCCTACCCGCTCTCACTTGCATTAGAAAAGCACCACCTTGCAAAGTGTAAAATTCAGGACAATTTATCCGACTCGTGGGTATCAGTGAACAGCTATCTATATCAGGGAGTCTCCCTGAACTTCCGGGAGACTTGGGATGTCTGCTAAATTATCCATTGTATTAAGGCTTGTCCTTATAAGTTTGAATTTTTAAATCTTTAAATCTTAACCAAGGTGAGTTCAGATCTAGCAGGAGCCAATCTAGACAGTTTACATCTTAGCATGGCCTGACTGAGCAGCCCACCGCTGCATGGGGCCGTCCTCCATATCTTCCCTTCAGGGGCCTTCCTCAGTCGCTGCAGAAGGCAGGCTGCACTACTAAGCAGGATGTAAAGGCCTCTCCTCCCAGAATCATATCTGAGCTGCTATTGCAGCAGCTTCATGTTGCGTTCACTGTCCGTCCCTGTAGAGGATTTCCCAGTTGTTTGCCACTGTTTGAAACTGTTGAGCACAAACCTCTGCAGTGACATCATTCTGGTTTCATTAAGGTTAAAGGAAATCATTTATAATCCCCAGTTCCAGTGAGGTGATGGGCCGTCACACTTTGCTCACTGAGGTTTAGATGTTTACTGTAAGCAACGTCTCTCCTGCAGTGTGAGCTGACCACAGCATGTTTGCTGACTGTTATAGTTGGAAGTTTATTTTATTTTATTTACAGACTGTCTCTGTTTTATCCACACCAACCACCACATTCAGTCT